GCCCGGGGCAGAGCAACTCTGCCTCGGGCTTCCTGTAGTCAGCCGCTGGTCAGTTTCAGCAGCAGCTGAATCTGGACACCAGTTCCGACTTACATACAGATTCAACTTAAGAACAAACCTACAGTCCCTATCTTGTACGTAACCCGGGGACTGCCTGTAATTAACTCATATTGCAGTGCTTGATATTCATTCTTCTGTCTCAAGTATAGAACCTTTTAGAAAAGGTATAAGTAACTGAAATCTCTCTCTCAGAATTTTATTAGGGATGTTAATCACTAATGAATAATTGCATTACATGACATACTTTCTTAAATAAAAAATAGTGAAATGAAACTTGAATGCTAAATAAGCTTAATTTAAAGCATGAACAAGAATTACCACAATAGATCAGACCCAAGGCCATTTAGTCTCCTATCTTGCCTCTAGTAGCAGCAAAGGCAGGATGCTACAGAGGTACGCAATAGTTAAGAATTTAAGTTTATTAATTTTTAAGCAAACAAGACATAACTGATTGTGTTACACATATAACACAATCACATGGGATAAATTGAAGGCTAACTAAAATACAAATGCTGTATTAAATATTAATACAAGAGTTTATAGTTTACAAGTTAAAAGTCTTAAGCAGGAACGACATCCTCTTAGTTGTTTGTTTACTACACATCTGAACTAATAGGATATGACACTATTAAGTTATAGTAATTCACAAGCTTCCCTGTATCAATATATTAATGCAGCTGAAATAATTTAAAGTCTATTTGCCCTACACAGGATACTATCAAGAAGTAAATCACAACTTAAAAACATACTGTTAATTTTTTCTGCCTATTTGTCAACGAAGAGCAAGAAGTTGTAAGACTGACGATTTACTTTTATGTTTCCAGGCATTGTTTTTAAAGTGATTTTTGCACAATTAAATTCCTTATTGCATTCTTTAATAATTACTCCAATACTGATGTTGCTTTTGACTTACACATGGAATACAACAATGAATTTAAATATACCATTAGGCAATACATTCATTTAAGTTTTATGCTACTTTCCATCAAAGGACTCCAACACACTTCACATATCATTTATTAAGCCTCAATATCAAATTAAGCCATTACCCCCACTTCAGACAGGAAAAACCCATGAGTCAGCGTCATAACTAGTCTGAATATCTCCTAAATATAGCTCTGTGCTTTATGCACTAGATAGTACTTCCTGTCTTGATAAGGGCTATGGTTCAGTAGGGAATATAAGCATGATTTTTAAGCGAGATTTTCAAAGCTTCTCTGAACATTTAGAGACAAACTCTTGTTAGTGTCAATGGTCCCTATTCAGGAAGGCCTTAAAGCAGTGTTTCGAGTCCCCTCAGCGGTACTTGAGAGAAGTCTGGGGGGTACATCAACACAACTGAAATTTGGAAAAAACTGAATTTTTGTTTTAAGTTTCACAGTGCTTTATTATTTTTGTACTTTTTACACCCAATTTCACCACCCCCCAATACGATTAAGTTGTTTAAATAAATGTGTTGAAATGGTGGAAAAAAATTGTAAAGGTCTAAAAACTGTAGGTACTGGGGGTACTTTTTTTTTTTTTTTTTTTTTAAAGGGGGTACTTTATAAAAAAAAGTTGAGAAACACTGCCCTAAAGCAGGTGCTTACTTTAAGTACATATTTAAATTGCATTGACTTCAATAAAACATGTACTTAAGTGCTTTCCTGAATCAGAGCCTTAATGAAAATTTTGCAACTAAAGCCTACAGGTGGCTTTGAAAATTTCAGTTTCAGTGTACTGATGTAACATAAAATAATTAGGGACTGCTGACGACAGTGAAGAATGTCCTGAGGTCTGCTGCCATGTTTCATGTTCTAACATTAGGTACATCTAGACTACAGGCTTTTGTCGACAGAGGCTTTGTCGAGATGAGAGTGTAGACACAAAGGACAGTGTAGATGCAATAACGCCTTCTGTTGTCAGAACTCTGTCGACAAAAGGTGTTATTCCTCATAGAATGAGGTCACCGCCATCAACAAAACTGCTAAGTTCTGTCGACGTTTTGTCAACAGAACTCGGTGGTAGTGTAGACTCAGGTATAGTTTTGTCAACAAAAGCCCACTTTTGTCGACAAAACCCTGTAGTCTAGACACACCCATGGTGTCTTTTTCCTATGTTGTTAAAATAGACTATATCTAATATTTCTATTGTAGCGCTACTATAAGCAGAGAAGAATTTTAATTTAAATAAATATTTTATTTCAATGAGTTGTTTTGTAAATACTATAAATCCATGCAAAAGCCCATACAAAACTTTTGTCCCATTAGGTATGTAGCTTCGAGTGTGAGAAAAAAAAAAAAAAGAGTAATATGATCCAAGAACATTTATATGATTGATTGAGACAGATTTTTGGTTTCAGCATAATTCACATCAATAATTACAATCCAGCTTTCTGAAAACTGTTACATGATGTGAGTTAAGTGATTTAGCTAGAAGGAACATTAACTTATTAAAATAAGTTACACAAATCATACGGAAACTCACCTCTTCCTCTAAAACAATGTGTCTAATCAGTGCAGCTATCAGGTCAAGATCAATCTTGTCATCATCCATCATTTCCAATGCATCTATAGTACTTGCTGAATACCTACAGATAATGTGTGTACATAGTGACCCGTCTTTAAGAAAAAAATTACTAATTTCAAGTGTTTCTATTACAAGGCTATTGCAATTTGACCTCAAAGAATATAAGGTACAGGTTGAACCTCTCTAGTCCAGCACCCTCAGGACCTGACCAGTGCCGAAAAAAGAGAATTTGCTGAACCACAGGAGGTCAATATTGTCTAGCAGCATTATCAACACTTCCACTGCTTACTGGGCTCTTAAAAGATATTTAGAAGTAAATTAGAGCTAAAAAACAGCATAGAACACTGAAAGCTAGGTGGGTGATTGTAAATTAACTTTATGGGACGATGGGAAAGTTGGTTGCACCATGAGAAGTGGACATTCAGCTAACTAAAATGTTGCCAGACCAGAGAGTGCCAGACTAGAGAGGTTCCATCTATATTCTTATATGAAATAGTTCTCATATATACAGTACTAGATGTGAGTCTGGAATAATTTGAGAGCTTTAAGACAATGACACTTATGTGTAAAAGTGAACCCAGAGGAACTCTGTCAGCTGCAACTGGGGCCACAAGGCATGGGACAAACAGCAGGGGAGCACGGGCCTCCCCTGGTCTGGCAAACTCCCTGGGTTAGAACACCTTAGGTCCGTAGGGTGCTGGACCAGGAAGATCCAACCTACAGTATGTTAGACTCACGTGTTAACAGCACTACATACTGCCATCTTTATGTAACTGGTAATCTTATTATAATAACTAAAATTGCATTTTATTTCTCAGCAGAACTACACAGGAAAAAAATCAGTACTATCCGACAGCATGGAAGTGAACAAATAAGACCTACCTTCCTCGCAGCTGCCTTAGATAATCTGGCCATCGTTCTCTATATATTTCTTCTCTCTCTTCCTTTTCTGGTCTGCTTATGTGTCCTTGCATAAAGCCCTTCTTCCACCGTGGCCTGCAATCTTTATTTTCTGGAGTATACCTACAAGTATATATTAATTATAGTCATTCAATATTTTATTTTAAAAATTAAAAATACTTCTAAAATTTTTCATGTAATTATTTCTGGGTTAAAGCACCAATATATGTCTTTAGCTTTTAAGTTCTGCCCTGTAATATTATGTAAAGAAAAAAGCGGAAGAAGCCTTATCTACAAAATGGGCTCCATTTCTACAAAGCATAAAATAGGCAGGAGAAAAAAAAAAAAAAAAAGAAAAAAAAAGATTGACCATACAGGAAAACTGTTAGCATTTTCAGGTAACCAGATTGAGTTGAGCTAATCAAGCATTTTTACATGAATAATTAGTTTGGAGGTTCAGGGAAACAAAAAGCCAAAGGATTTCAAATTGAAATAAAAAAACAATATATATTAACTGCTGTTAACATCTTGCTCAAACATAATACCATTTGTGAAAAAACAGAACAACTCTACAGAATTTTCCATGGTTAAAAATGTTTTTTTTTAAAAACAAGATCTCTGCCATCAGATCAGAAATTACAGCTATCACTTGAAACAAGACTAAAATATGTATCATGTTATTCATGATGAGATGTGACTTGCAACTATGGACATTCCAAACTGCTAGGCTAAGCAAAAGCGAACATCATTCTATGTATGTGCCTAGTAGCATCCAATACAATTAAGTGACACTTTACTTACAGATATGGACTAACCTTAACTTTTCAATTACATCTTCCAAAAGATATTCCACAACAGGGAAAGTGAATCCTGGTATATGGATCATGGGACAATCATCTATAGAGGAAGAGTTTAACTTATCAATTCTTAAAAAACTAATATAACATATTTTTAATACTGTTAACACTGTATCAAAGAGTTGGAACTGTCTTTTTCCCCCCTATTTAAATGAACACATTTTGGCTACATCTAGACTGGCATGATTTTCTGCAAATGCTTTTAAAGGAAAAGTTTTTCCGTTAAAAGCATTTGCGGAAAAGAGCGTCTAGATTGGCAGATGCTTTTCCGCAAAAACACTTTTTGCTGAAAAGCATCCGTGCCAATCTAGATGCGGTTTTGTGCAAGAAAGCCCCGATGGCCATTTTTGCGATCGGGGCTTTTTTGCGCAAAACAATACCGCGTTGTCTACACTGGCCCTCTTGCGCAAAAACATTTGCACAAGAGGGCTTTTGCCCGAACGGGAGCAGCATAGTATTTCCGCAAGAACACTGACAATCTTACATGAAATCGTCACTGTTCTTGCGGAAATTCAAGCGGCCAGTGTAGACAGCTGACAAGTTTTTCTGCAAAAGCAATTGCTTTTGTGGAAAAACTTGCCAGTCTAGACGCAGCCTATAAGTTTGATTTTCATGCCCACTTACTGCTTAGGAAAAGTATCAAGTTAACATCCCCTGAACAAATAGACCCTCACTAGGGATGTTAATTATCATGGTTTTGTGTAAACATTCAACCACTTGAATTTTTTTGCGGTTACGTGTTTATATGCAGGGCATTTATCAGTTAATTGTTTAAACAGTTACATGCTAATATCCTTAACCCTCACAAGAAACAACTATGCATGATGCCCTATGTCCTAATCAGTGTGACAAACCCAAGGCAGATGAACCACTTGAGGCTGGTTGGCATACCACAGGGAGATTTCCAGTGCCTATCCACTCTCTCATGGCTTTCAACGGTGCTGAGTTTTAAAGATTAAAGATAATGTCAATATCTATTTGACAATTTACAATGTGTATTAACCTCTACTGCAACATATAACCACGATGGACTAAATCAAGGAACCTGTAAGACTGAACCCTACTCAAACCTCTCACAGCTGATGGCTACAACTAACTGAAACAATTATTGTTTTAGATTTCAGTGAAACCGACACTGTTTTAAACTGTACAATGATGCATTTTTACCTCCAAATATATAAAGCAAATATGAAAGTATGTTGCATATCTCATCAATATTACAATGCAAACATATCACGCACCAAAATATTCTGAAAATTTCTCAGCATTCAAAGTAGCACTCATCAGTATTACTTTCAGGTCTGGTCGAACATTTAGAAGATCTTTAATAATAGTCATTAAGACATCTGATTGAAGATTTCTTTCATGGATTTCATCAAGAATAACATGACTAATAGTGGACAATTGCCTAAAATAAAAGAATGCAAAGTTGATAAAATTTAGCAGAAGCACGGCATAAAAAAATAATCTGAGACAAGTGATAAAGAATCGAAACAAAACACAGAACCCTTAAAAAAGTAGGCCACTAATATTCTGACAAGTATCAGAGGTGTAGCTGTGTTAGTCTGAATCTGCATAAACAAAGAGAAGTCTAATACTCTCATAGTTTCTTTTTAAATATAAATACTTACTTGTCTGATTGGAGCCACTGTAGGACAATTCCTGTTGTACAGTACAAAATGGAACCTTGTTTCCTTGGTAACCGACTGAAAAGAGATGTATTAAACATTCCTGAATTCTTTTTTCTAATATATTTTACAAAATACTTTAAAAGCTCCAAAGTAGAATGCACTTTAAAGTGTCCATAATGACAATCTGTATCGTTCAACTTATTCTTTAGGCCTGTTCACGCAGAACTAATTTAGTGCAAGCCGGGATTAAGTCAGGGCTATGCCACAGTATGCCTATGATGGAGAACGGATCATTTGCAATCTGTCAGCACCAGGCTTTATAGCCATTATTTGTCACTATTTTAGCATTAGTTCTTCTCTACTCATCCCAAATTGATGTTAAACTAAAAACCCAGGCAAAATATTGTTCTCTGTTGTACAGCATTTAAACAAGAGAATATAATTTAATTCCACAAATAAATTTCTATCCTGAATAAAAAGAGCTATGCAAATAACCAACACTAGAATATCAGATTACAATTAGGGCCTATTCTCTAGTTTTAGCTTTTTAGATCAGTTTTTCATTCAAGGATTATCCCAGATACAGCAGCACCTTCACTAAGGCCATAAGCCTACAAACACTGATGCAACATTCTTAATCTTACACAGTTTGAATGAGACCACTTTGGTAGTCTAATTAAGCACATGCACAAGTGTTCATAGTATCAGCACCTAAACCTGTTGATATTTTTAAACTTTAAACACTCCCTTCTATTAGGGGATGTTAAATATCGGTAAATTGAATAGTCAATTAACCTAATGAATTCTTTCCAGTTAGTGGACTATTCTATAGTCCCCGGGGCAGCCTCTGTCCAGGGGGAGAAGAGGTCTTAGCTCCCGGATCCAGCACAAGCTGGGCTCCTTGCCCGGCTGGGTCCTAATGCACTTTAAACGCAGAGCCACAATGGGGGTAAATCCACGACTCAGTGCAAGCTGGGACCGAGCTGGGCTGCTGGCCAGCCTGCTAAAAAATTTACTGGCAAGGGGTAGGAGGAAAATACATGTAGTCTATAGCATTAACCTATAAGCTTTTGCTTATCAGTTAATCGACTATACTATTACATCCCTAATCAAATAGTCAATGGAATTTCCATCGACTATTTGATTAGTCGATAAGGGTGCTTCTGCTTTGAAATGTAGCAAGGGCCCATCTGGCTGGTGCTACATTTCAAAGGCGGAAGTGCCGCGCAATGCTTCCACTTTGAAATGTACGAGGGGCCTAGTGGGGTTCTTGTGCATTTAAAAGATTGAAATGCCACATGGAGCCTGGAGTCAATGGGAGACTCCCCACTGGCCCCAGGCTCCATGCAACATTTCAATCATTGAAATGCACAAGAGCCCCACTAGGCCCCTCGTACATTTCAAAGTGGAAGCATTGCACAAGAGCCCCTCCCACGGAGCTGGAGCTGGGAGGAATGGGCTTTTAAATTGGCTCCCCCAGCACCGCCTCCTCTTAGAGGCAGCAAACAGGGCAGGGGGAAGCGACTAGTCACTTACATCCCTACCTTATATATGTCTGTTGTAATAAGACTGATTCCGGACTGGAAACTGCACACACACTGATTTGCATCTTGACCATTCAAATGGTCTCCAATGTAACCGGGATTAGTACACAAGATATTTTTATGTTGAACTATAACATTTTATTTCTCCTCTGCCACAATCAGCAACTCTGATTCTCACTTGTCTTAACAGTTTAAGACTGGCAGATTGATAGCCTGTTTACCCTGTACTATTTGTAATTCTTCCACCACCTCATGCCAATTTTATTTATCTCTAAAGGACTAAAGCAATTAAATCCTCTTTACATTAACAGAATTGCAGATGTGAACTGCCATGACAGGAAAGTAGACTATTTTATGAAAATTGGTTTCTGAGTAATTTAAGCAACATTAAAGTTCAACCATTCTAACCAAGCTTTCAAGTACGTACTTCTCTTTCCTCCCAACCATGTATAGGAAAACTGCACAGAATCCTCCCCTCTCCCCCCGGTGTGTGAAAGCTGTTAAGTATGGCCCATCTGTGTTTAAAACTATATTTCAAATTTTCCTGTTTGATTTATATTGGATTTGCAAGTTACCAAGAAAACTCCCATTTACCTCTGGAGACGAATTTGGTATCCTGTGCTTTTGCCATTACCACACACTTCTGCCCTTTCAGCTGCAACTCTCTCTGCCACCTTAAAAATCAAACCAAATAGCATCAGGTTCCAAAAAAAACCAAACAAACAACAAAATCAAGTTTATCTGAACTTAGCTATTCTCTGTAGGAACTATTTACCATGAAGAGGTTACCTGTCCGTTTATAACAATGCTAAAGCTATCTTTAAGCCCCTCCTTTGATGGATATAGCACTGCTTGGCCATAATCAAAGCATTTGGTATATATTCTGAGAGACAGTAAAGGTGCTTTAGACACAATGGAACTAAATGTATTTCAATCCTCCCCCTCATACTTAACATGGCTTGCAACCCTTTCTCGGTAGTGGAACTCTCCCTTACAATCCAGCATTTAAGACACAGTCTAACAGTCAAACTTCAAGAGATCATGCAAGCTGAGAAATACTCATCTCTAATTTTCAAAGAGCTGGAGTGAGCAAAATGGTAGCATTTTATCAATAGTTTTAGATCTAATTATTTTATAATGGTTAGCTGTATTGTTCTGTGACTATCACACAGTATTGAGAAATGAGGCTGTAAGCATAGAACACACTAATTTTGAACCTGCGCTGCTCTGTCCAATAAAGTGACGGGTAAGCACTTTCTGGGCAGCTCAAAAACAGCAAAGATATAAGGTATCCAAAAAGCTAGAGTCTAAGTACAGACCCTTTTATGTTCTCCTTTATCCTTACTATACCCATATTAGGTAAGCATGCTGGGGAGAAAACTCAGCTAATAAGATCAATGGGTAAAGGTCTGGGTGAACTAGGTTGCACAAACCTGCCAAAGTGTTCAGCTTCAATGCTGCTTACTACAAAAGGAGCAACACTGACTGTAATCCTGCAGACACATACTTCACAGGCTTTAATACTACTCAAAAACATTAACTATGGGTGCAAGTGTTCACAGACTTGAGAATTTAAAACGGTAAGCTCTTTGGGGGAAATTATGCTATATGCTTGCACAATACCTAGTACAACAAGGCCTGGTTCTGATTAAGAACTTTGGGCAGAACTACAAAATAAATAGTAAACAATTTGTCCCACAATGTCTTTATTGAAAAAGGAAATCAATATTTTAAGAAACAATTCAGTTTTTCAAGGCTGCACTTACTGAGATAGCACTGATCCTCCTAGGTTGGGTACATACAATCCTGCAAGCAGATCCTTTCCCTCTCTCTATGTAGTCATCCAGAATGAACTGAGTAACTTGTGTGGTCTTTCCACAACCAGTTTCACCACTTATCACAGTCACCTGATTATTATTTATCACAGTTACAAGTTCCTATTTTAAAAGGAAAAGAAAATGAAATTACACTGACAAATATTTTTCAACTGTAGAAGCCCTTCTACTAGTCTCCATTCCATTGAATTCAAAGAACAGGCCACGCTACGTAAAAGAGACATATTTAAATTACTCCATTTTATTAATAGTTTACGGCCAGAGACTGAAACTGTTCCATCTACTTTAAATGTATAATTAATGTCATGCACAAATTATGTGTGTATACAAAATTAAAGCTATTATTTACAAAAACAGGATTGCATAGTTTAACAATTCTACACATTGGTTTATGAACAAACAGAGGCTGGGCTTGAGATTGCTTTGAAAATATAGCTAGTCTCAGATAAATGAAAATGAAAGCTTAAATTCTGACTTTTCCTCTGAGCTGAATGAAAGGCAAAAGGCAAACAATCTCTGAAAAGAGACTGGTCTGTTGTAGTCAGCAGTACTTTCCTTCTTACAGATTTCAGAATAATGTTTCAGTGCTTCTGCTGCAATCACTGTAAGGGACTGTTTAAAAACCCCATAAAAAGGTTTTTAAACCTTAAATCTGAAGAGCAATTGAACTCTCTGTTTCTTATATTTTATTCTTTTTTGAAGAAACAACTGAAATTAGGGGACAAAATGGACGTGACCATGTCCATTTACAATAAAAGTTATACGGTCTATTAGAGGACATACATAACACACCTACAAAAGAAAACCTATAGAGTACTTTTACTTTGATGTATAACATTTAAGTTATTTAAACCAAAATGAAAATAAACCCTGTTAGCTAAAATGGCTGGCAGCAGAGCTGCTAGTGGCCAGGAGCTTAGTGAAGTAAGAGGCAGAAGGACTAGCGTAGATCTCCCTATGTTTGGCAAACTTCCTCATTCCGGACCAGACAGGTCCCAAGGGTGCCAGACCAGGGAGATTCAATCTGTAGTATAACACACCATACAGCCACAAGAGTATTATTTAATAATTAAAATGAAATAAAGACAATTTTAACCAATGTTCAATCATAGCTCATATACAAATATACCATGACCAGCAATAAAAATAGTCACACCTAGCAATTTAAGATACAATACAGTAAATACGTCTATTAAAATTTCAAGTAAACATGGTAATTAGTCACCTTAGCTTCAAACAACATGTAATATTTTATAAGTTTAACCTACAAACTAAAAGACGAAACAGCTATAGAGTATTTGAAAAATACGTGGTGCCCATATCTTGTTGCTATGGAGACAATTGTCCAGCTATAAAACAGTATGGTTCATCATAACCATAGGGAGCTTCCTACACTGCACATTGATGTTCCAGAAATCTTTTTCTGGGAAGAAATTCGCTGTAATTATGAAGCCTCCCAAGTTCTGACATTTTTTACAAGGTGGTAAGATTCTTTACAATATTCCCTCTGAAAAAGATATTTCAAAATTAAAGCCTACTATAAGTCTGAGCCCCAAAATCATTATTATTTTAATAATGATTAAAATAATCATTATTAATTAACAAAATAATAATTCATCTTTATTAATGACCTGGATGATGGGATGGATTGCACCCTCAGCCAGTTTGCAGATGACACTAAGCTAGGGGGAGAGGTAGATACACTGGAGGGCAGGGATAGGGACCAGAGTGACCTAGACAGATTAGAGGATTGGGCCAAAAGAAATCTGGTGAGATTCAACAAGGACAAGTGTAGAGTCCTGAACTTGGGACGGAAGAATCCCAAGCATTGTTACAGGCTGGGGATTGAATGGCTAAGTAACAGTTCTGCAGAAAAGGACCTGGGGATTACAATGGATGAGACGCTGGATATGAGTCAACAGTGTACCCTCGTAGCCAAGAAGGCTAATGGCATATTAGGGTGCATTAGGAGGAGCACTGCCAGCAGATCCAGAGAAGTGATTATTCCCCTTTATTCGGCTCTGGTGAAGCTACATCTGGACCACTGTGTACAGTTTTGGGTCCCCCACTATACAAAGGATGCGGACACATTGGAGGGGGTCCAGCAGAGGGCAACCAAAATGATTAGGGGGCTGGAGCACATGACCTGTGAGGAGAGGCTGACGAATTTGGGTTTGTTTAGTGTGCAGAAGAGAAGAGTGAGAGGGGATTTGATAGCAGCCTTCAACTTCCTGAAGGGAGGTTCCAAAGAGGATGGTGAAAGGCTGTTCTCAGTAGTGATGGATGGCAGAACAAGGAGCAATGAGCTCAAGTTATAGTGAGGGAGGTCTATGTTGTATATTAGGAAAAACTATTTCACTGGGAGGGTGATGAAGTACTGCAATGGGCTACCTAGGGAGGTGGTGAAATCTCCATCCCTAGAAGTTTTTTAAGTTTTGGCCTGACAAAGCCCTGGCTGGGTTGATTTAGTTGGGATTGGTCCTTCTTTGGGCAGGGAGCTAGACTAGATGACCTCCAGAGGTCTCTTCCAGCTCTATGATCATATTTGTAGTCTGAATTACAAAACCTATGTTTATAACAATATAGCAAAAATGCAATTGATTTTAAAGTAAAAATAAATATATTTACCCTTCTGATTACATATGAAGGAAGTTTCTCTCGGAATCTCTGGGGTAAAACAAAATTAGGGTTATTTTTAAAATACACTTATGCTTTGGAGATCAAAAACAAGATCAGTTTCATCTATGATTAACAAAAATAAAACACAAACACTTATGTGAATATATAACTCTAAATTTTCATGTACAGCCTCTTCATCGCTCACAAACCAGTTACGGACCAAGCAACTGGTCATAACTCGGTTCGTTCGTAAGTCGGACCCCAAAGAGTTACACACAACCGCGCTGTTCATAAGCACAGATCACGTTCGTAACTCGGGGTCCACCATTTACGACAGCTTTGGTTGTAACTGCAAACGGTCGTAAGTCGACCGTTCTCAACTCGGGGACCGGCTGCAGTCCCACTGAAGCCAGCAAGACTATTTATATGCTTAAGCACATATGTAAACATTTGCAAGATTGGGGCCTCAGAGTCATATTATGACCAGTCAGAGAGGAATAAATGAAGATAGATGTAAGCCCAGCCTCCTACAGAGGACCTTGAAGGCAGATCAGCAGTACCTCATGATAAACTATGTTATCATTAACATTGATTATTATATCACCACTACCAGAGCAACCAGTATGATTTCAAGACCATAAACTGGTGTAAAGGTGGATTACTGTTTTTATAGATAAATTATTTAATTCACTTAAAAATAATCATATCTTATGCTGTCCACTGCCATGCATTTAAATGTTAGTATTTTAGGATGCAATTAATATGAAAATATTATACAACATACATTTTTATCTTCAGAAGTATTAACAGGAATTTTAATATTGTCCAGATATTATAGTATTACTAACTGACATGCGGAATAAACAAAAAGGAACATCACTACAGTAACAAAAAAGTATTTTTTACATAAGTTAATACCAAACAGATTTTCATAATGACATTTTTCCACTAATGAGTATAAAAGGTAACTAGTTTTTAGTAATAAAATTAAAAAACTACTATAATAAACCAAATCAGCATCAGTTATGTCTTCTAATTAACCACTGTCTAGTACCTGCATTTCAATATATCTAGGATCAAACTGCTTCTTTCTTAACTCTTCTCTAAATTGCTCATTGAAGTCAGTATATGGCCCACGTTCTTCAAAGAGATATTCTGAATCTCGATCTAGGAATGTTTTCTCCAAAACAGGTCTCTGCTTTACAGAGGTCTTCGCCAAAGTTGGTTTCTCTTTTACAGGTTCATCTGGACTATGTCAGAAAAAAAAATCATTGTAATTCAATTTCCACGTTAAAATTTTTCTAAGAGGTGGTAATTCAACATATGCTTGGTTACTGGAACAAGTACAAAATAGGGCTCCCTTTAAGCCTGTATCTAAAAGGTTTATTGTCCTTACGTAACAGAATACTGACTGTAAACCAATGTTATGGTGTTTGAATGTGTAGACAGAACTACTGACTTAGCTAGTCTCGTTGCCCCATCTCATAATTAGATGTGACAGGAAGATCAGGACCATATTTTTTTCTTATGGGAGAATGAAATTAACAAGATCGTGGTGGTTAGTTTCAATACTGCTATTAAGAATCTTTAGAAATGAAATTGTCAAGAAGTGTGTCTATTTCACTTCAGCTTGGAAAACATTAACTGAGGCTGAATTTATTCACAAGGAGAACCCAAAGAAATGGAGGCCAAGGAAGAATAGAGAAGGATGGTACTCTGCACCCCAAATACCAGAGGCAGAGTATCAACACTACCACCATTCCCCCACCGTCGTGGGGTGGAAAAGAAAAGATGCTTTTCTTCCAACAGTAAGGGGAACCTCAACATTTATCAGATACTTACTAGCCAGTTCTGATTCTCTTAAAACATCAAAATTAATCTTGAGTATGCCCAAAAATATTTAGACACCTAACTCCCACTGACTTCAGAGAGAGTTTAGACACCTAAACACTCTTAAAAATCCGGCTTTAGGATGCAGATTGTCTTAAAGAAAACAAACTGCAGTGTAAAGAGTCAGAAATTCTTACTACATCATCTAAATTGAGGAGGAATAAATACCACAGAGGCAAAGAAAGTCTTCTCTATACTAAAGCTTTTACAGTTGCTGCCACTGATTGTGAATTACAGATATAAAGTTTGCTAGCACTAGACCAGGGACAAACCATAACAAAATGGCATTCACAGCATCTTTGGAAGTTCAGCATCCTGCCCCTTCCCACCCAGCATCTTAGGTAAATATGGTGAACTCACCCTCCTCCCAACCCTAATATTTCCTATTACAGTAAACTTCCAATAATCCGGCATCTTTAGGACCCAGAGGGTGCCAGATTATCAAATATGCCAGACTATCGGAAGGGGAGGTTATGAGGGATCTGGGGTGGGGGGGATGCCACCCCAGACCCCTCATTGCCCCCCCTTCTGATAGTCTGGCTCTGCCCCAGGGGTCCCCGATTTAGCCGCTGCTGTTCAGTTTCAGCAGCAGCTGAATCGGGGACCCCTGCGGCAGAGCAGCTGGGGTGCTGCTGGGTTGGTCCCGCAGCCCCAAGGGGCGGCGCTACCGGACCAACCCAGCAGCACCCCAGCTGCTCTGTCCCAGGTGTCCCTAAGAGCAGCTGGGGCGCTGCCGGGTTGGTCTCGCAGCGCCAAGGGGCGGCGCTACCGGACCAACCCAGCAGCACCCCAGCTGCTCTGCCGCAGGGGTCCCCGATTCAGCTGCTGGTGAGTTTCAGCAGCGGCTGAATCGGGGAAGCCGGGCACAGATCAGCTCTAACTGTCCGGCTGCCCTGAGCACTTCCGGGTTCCCGATGGTGCCGGACCATCAGGAGTGCCGGAGCTTTGGATGCCGGACCAATGGAGTTTTACTGTAGAATGTCACTTCATTATAGTCTTTTTAATAAAAAATTTACCTCATTTTACAAAACCTATTATTCAGTTTTTCAGTTTTGCAGTACATGAAAATACTGCTTACATAAAAAAAAAAATCAAATCCATTACATTAGGTATATGTATTTATCTATATACATATTTTAGAATGCATCTGTCAAGAATGTTAGTCTGTTTGTTGAAGAATTACTTCTAAACAATAAAAGCTAGGGCCACCAAATTTGCTATGCAGCTTCCTCTTATCCCAACTTAAATCAAGGTCAGGGTTTGGTTGTGCCAGGAAAACAAGAAGTCCCTGGAATGGGACTGGTTTCCATAATATGGAAAGGGAGAAGGCAGAGAGGAGGGACGCAAGACTGAGAGCCACCACTTGGGGCAGCAAGTGCAGAGGAGAGCTAAACTGCAGAGTGAGCACTAAGGGCTGCCACACAACCAAGAGAGTGGCCAGCTGGGGCTCATCATCTTGGCCATAGGACCAAAGGGGGGAGAGAAAGAGAGAGAAGGCCCCTGCCAGCCATGTGTGTGTCCAGCTCGGGGGAGAGAGAAGGGCCACCAGAATGGGACTCCCTCTGCCCTAACACTCTTCTCATCCCTCCTACCCTCACACTTCCTGCACCCCCTCCGCCCCCACAACACCAGCCCTCTTCCCTGAAGGACGCGGGCAATCATTTAATTTTAACCAACGCTTATAAATGCGCAGGTGAACCAAATAAAAACCAAAACGAAGGCTCTTGCCTAGTAGTTTATGAATAGTACATTTGGTCTTCTGTCATCAGTAAAATTTTCAAACCCAGAACTCAAGCATAACCTAGAAAATTGTTTGAAAAGAATTATCATAATGCTAACTCATATTAATAATTACTATGTGTTACTAAATAAAAATATCAGCGTTAAATACAAATTGTATTTAATCTAACCCAGTATCTTTTTACATTAGCAGTTTTTACACACAATCTTTTGCCACCACTTTCTACAAGAGAAACACACAACATAAATGATTGATTTCTTTTTACCCTTCTTCCTCACCAGACCACCACGACACTGATTCTTGTTCTTTTTCATTTCTACTCTGGACAGTATTCAGCAACTGTACAATCTGTTCTTCCCTGCGTTCATCCATACGCACCACAGCTCTCTAATTTGAAGAAAGAAAAACAGCTTTTCCACCATGGCTTAAGAGCATATAGTTATAGTCAAAATGTATTTGCATGCTTGATTCAACTACATAAATGTATTTTTTTTTTGTTTTCCGGGAACTATAATGGCTCTTAATACATTTAAAAAGCAGAGGTGCAGTGTCTGGAACCGGGTGGGAGCCTCGAATTAGCTGATTCCTGGCTCGTATCCGGTCCCACAGCTATACCTCTGCCTGGAGGCTCTTAATACATTTAAAAGGCAGTGCCACAGCAGGGTTAGCTCCTGAGGCTGGGAGCTAACCCCACTGAAGCTCTGCAGTTTCCCTCCTTACCAACTAAAATTCCACAGACTACTCGAACAGCTGATTACACACAATTTAACATCCCTATCATGCACAAGTTACTATTTGTAAAGAGGATTTTAAGTGGTATTCTTCTTTGAATTACAGATGTGAAGAGAACTTAAGTTTTATAAAATGATACATAACATGCTGTCCTCTAGCATTCTAATAATTTAATCACCTTGACATCCAAGCCAACCCCTACTTGCAATGAATCCTGTTAAAAGCCATCAAAGAGATTTTTTTCCTGACCATTTTAACATGTTAACCCAAGCTTTGATATATTTCACTCTTTTCAAGGTTTAGCTATTAATTTAAAACCAAAAAACCTAGAACACAAGTTTTTCAGTGTGTTTTTTAAAAAGAATCTCTTTCTCTACATATCCTGCCTGCTATCTTCTCTGCACCTGTGGAGATGTACAAATATTACAGAGAAGCATTATCAGAAATACCTGTATTGTGGCATACAGTACTTCTCATAGCAGAAAAAAGCAACCCTGATAATTCTCAGTTTTTCCTGATACTGCTCTTTTTGTTGCTGCTGCAGAAGTACAGGAGCAAAGACCTGATCCCCCATTTCTTCAGTGGAGCTTTTAAAAATGGGGATGAAAAAATAGCACAAATATGAAAAGTGTTCTCCCATGCTACCTGCTCCTGGTTTTAAACATTTAGCTTTCAAGACACAGGAGTCCTTCCTTTAGGGTTTTCTGGAGTTTGCATGACTATCTGGGGGAGAATGGCTGAAAGAAGAAAAGTTTGAAGTAGGGATGGGATAGTGTCTGTCTGGGCTCATCAGTTAACCTTCATAGTTACATGCAAACCACACACCCCCTCTCCTGCTGCTGTATCAAAGGCAGCAGCATGGCATGCATGGGGAGCCAAGCAGAGGCAGCAGCGGGGTGGGGAGGAGGGCTCCCTGCGCACACGGGCTCCTGCAGAGTGGCTTCCCCCCACGTGTAAATGTGTAATTGGTGAATTTTTTAGCAGTAACATGCTTAGTAAAAAAACCTCCTCATTTTAACATCCCTAATCCAGGTTCAATGATCAGCAAAATGAATATAGCATGTCATCTCTTAGATAGGTTGTTTTCTACAGTG